CTCCAAGCGGTTGCAGTCTGTGTTGGCAGGGGGGCAGAGGTCGACCCCGAGGCGCTTTATATGTGGGGTGCCACAGAGGTCAGTCCTCTCGCCTCTTCTGTTCAACATTTATGTGAAGCCACTGGGTGAGATCATCCGTGGTTTCGGGGTGAACTACCATCAGTACGCTGATGACACTCAGCTGTACATCTCCACCCCGGACCACCCCAATGATGCCCTTGAAGTGATGTCCCAGTGCCTGGAGGCCGTGCGGATCTGGATGGGGAGAAACAGACTCAGGCTCAACCCATCCAAGACCAAGTGGCTGTGGTTTCCGGCATCCCAATATAGTCAGTTGGTGCCATCACTGACTATTGGGGGCAAGTCGTTGGCCCCTAAGGAGAGGGTTCGCAACTTGGGTGATCTCCTGGACTCATGGCTGTCTTTAGAAGAGCATTTGACGGCCATGGCCGGGAGGACTTTTTATCAGATTTGCCTGATCCTCCAGTTGCGTCCCTTTCTAGATCAGGACTCCTTACGCACGGTCACTCGTGCCCTCGTCACTTCCCGCCTGGACTACTGTAATGCTGTCTACATGGGGCTCCCCTTGAGGAGCACCTGGAGGCTCCAACTGGTGCAGAGTGCAGCTTGTGCAGGAGAGGTGTTACATGGGAACACCACGTCGCTCCCATAACCACCCACGTTCCCATGTAACACCTCTCCTGCACAAGCTGCACTGGCTTGCAGTGGTCTTCCGGGTGCGCTTCAAGGTTTTGGTTATCACCTTTAGAGCGCTCCATGGCTTAGGACCTGGATACTTACGGGACTGCCTGCTGCCACCAGCAGCCTCTCACTGGCCAGTACACTCTCATAGAGAGGGGCTCCTCAGGGTGCTGTCGGCCAAACAGTGTCAGCTGGCGGCCCCCAGGGGGGAGCCTTCTCTGTGGGGGCAGCTGCTATCTGGAATGCGCTCCCCCCGGAGATACGGAGGATCCCGGATCTACACACCTTCCGCCGCGCCCTCAAGACCTTTCTATTTCAACAGGCTGGCCTGGCCTAACTTTTTCCCTTTTTAAATTGTAAATTTTAAATTTGTCTTAACCATTGGGGGTGTTTTTAATTTGTCCTGGGCCAAATTATTTAATGTGGTTTTATACTGTTTTAAATTTTGTAATCCATGTGCTTTATTTTTTGGCTGTTCACCACCCTGAGTCCTTCAGGAGTTCGGCGGTGTATAAATCTAATAAAATAAATAAATAAATAAATAAATAAAATCCATTTAAGTGAACTTTCCTTATATAATTGGTGTTTTCTTTTATACTTTTAGATTTCTAACTTCTGTTTCTGTTAGGTAGCCATTGATAAAACAAATCCCATATTAAAAAGTATTTGAAGCCTTCTCCTTGATTTAAATTGTTAATTCATTCATTTCTGCACATTCATTCTAATGAATATGTTTTTATTCATTTTCATATCTTTGTTTTTCCACTGTTGTGCAAACACAAATCTAGCAGCTGTTAACATGTGTAAAATTAAATATGTATTCCCTTTAAAATGCCCAACAAAATATTTCTGGTTTTAAACCCATATCTTACTTTACCATTGTTTCTAACCATGATTACACCACTAACTCTGGAATAGCTACTTGATTGTACTGATCTAAATACTCAACCTAATTCATATGTTTCTATTTTTTGAACTGAGGAATAAATTTCATGAAAAATAATTCAGTATTGCTCAGTGAATGTACCTATGAAAGTCATCCTTCTTGATCTAAGTTCTTGGCTGGAACACTTTATCTTTCTTTGTTGGACCCAATCACATCTTGAAAAGACTGTACATTGTTGGGTGAAAACAGAGATCACTTCTGTTATCTTTAGTCCTCAGTTTACAACCACAATCAAGTCCAAAGCACAAAATTGTTTTTTTTTCTTTTGCAGTAGTAGCCTTTAACAGGATGAAAAAGCAACAGAGTTTGACCTCTTTATTCACTAAGAGACCGAGACTGGAACAATCAGAATCAGATACAACAGAATTGGATCCAAAACTGTCACAAGCACCACAAGCACCAATGCCACCACTTGAATATGGAGAAAGCATGAAGTCAATCTCCTCAACTGAAAGTCTTCCTGATCTTCCTGACTGCTGGCCATGGCAGCAATATAGCAGCTTCCAAGAGAAGTATGAGGGACTGGAAGCTTCAAACAAAAAATTAAGTTGTAAGTACTGCGCGCAACATGAATTCACATTAGAGAAAGGTGTTCATGTTTCCAGAGAATGGAAACATTTCAAGATTGAGGCAGCAGGGACAAGTAAACAGGTATAGCAAGCATCTCTTAGGAAAAAAATAAAAGAACATTTCATATCAAAATCGCACATCATTTGCAGAGACAACATAAAACAACGGGAGCAGGATGCTATAACAAAATCGTAGATAAGTCAACTGAAAAACATTTATCTACTATTTGTAAAGTATTTCTTACAGTTTAGTCTGGCACAAAGATGTACACCATTTTCAGACATAGGAGAGGTAGAATTGCTAACTACAATTGGAGTAGATCTGGGAGTAGGATTGCATTCACAGAGAACTGCAGTGAAAATAGTTGATTTCATTGCAAAAGAAATTAAAACTGAGTGTAAGGATCGCCTCTCCTTCCAACTTAAGAAAGTAAAATCTCTTGAAATGTGGTTGTTCAAAAGAGACCTTTTATTAAGCAGAAGTGATAGCCATCCAGTTAAAGCATGATCTGAATACCCTTAGGCAAGACAAGTAGGATTAAAGCAGTAGAGACCCCTCCCTTTAAGTCAGAATGCAGATTTTAACCAATATACAAGTCTGAAGATGTTTTATTTCCTAGTTTCCCTGAGAACCCAAACAACCATGCATTCACACTGTTATTCTTTAAAGTGAAACAACCCACATGGCTATCATAAAAATTCCTCCAAGTAAAGAGGATCTCAGGGCTCTTTGGCGCCAGGATATAGGTTGTAAAATATCTGTTGACACAGGCAATGCTAATAAATCGAATCCAAGTCTCCCCCATCCTCCAATTGAATCACTTTTAGGGATCTGACACTGAGATGTTTACCAGCATTTTTGCACAGAATCGGAAAGTGTGTTTAATCATTGATCAAGCCTCAATGCTATCATGCAAACCAGTTGTGATAATTTTTGTAAAAGTTGAGGATTCAGATAACCCAACAATATTTTTTGTTGAGCTTGTGGAATTGGAAAAACAAGATGCAGAGACAATATGTAATTCAGTTATGGAGAGTTTACATAAGGTTGGTTTACTATGGACTATCTACAAAAAAAATTAATAGCATTTTGCTTTGATGGTGCCAGCGTTATGCTTGGGAGAAAATCTGGAGTGAGCACTAGAATAGCAAAACAGTTTCCAAACATCTTTATATGGCACTGCTTAAACCATCTCCTCCAACTTGTTTTAGAAGACTCCATAAAGGACATTAAGCAATTAAACCACTTTAAAATATTTATTGACAAGATACACACCATTTTTCATAAATTCTGTAAGAGCCAGATGGAATTTTTCAACATATCTGAACAACTTGGACTTGAAATCGTAAAGATAGAGTTTGGGGACCAAGATGGGCTGTCTGTAGTTTAGGGTCAACCGTAGCTGTGTGGCATGCTTATCCAGCACTACACCAATATTTTCATGCGAATAAAAAATTCTCAGGTATGACTGCCCATCTGGAAAATATATATTTTAAAAATGATTTGGCATTGATGATCAATATTCTAAATGAAATTTCTCTTCTGTCAAATGCACTGCAAGGAAGAGATACAGACATCATAAAGGCTCAAAAATTTGTGGTGAGATCAATTAAATCATTTCAAATGCTTAGACAGAGAAAGGGTCGATAGAAAAAAAAGGTTGATGGAGTAATTGCTTCAGAAGCCTTCAAAAATATAAAATTTGTACAAAATCATCGATTTGTCGGACTTCCTCGGGAAAAACCTTTGGAAAACATCATAACCAATTTGAAGAATGGATTGTGAACATTTAAAGACAGGTAGCAAATTGCAAGACACGAATAAATTACGATTTCTCAATTTTTTGGAGCCAGATTACTGGAATACTGAAGAAGTAGTAGTTCCATGGCCAGAAGCTGAAGAACAATTGCTTGAATTTACTGACATTTTTAATTACCAAATTAATATGAATGATTATAGAGATTTCGTAGAAAATGCTTTAAAAGATCCCAATACAATTCCTGACAATATTAAAAAAGCTAAAGATATTGTCAGAACAATTGCTGTAAGTTCCGCAGAAGCGGAAAGGGTTTTTTCAAAAATGAACCTCATATCTTCAGAACAGAGAAGTCGCTTGTTTCCAACATAAGCAGCCTGATGACCATTAGTGTGATTGGCCTACCTCTACAAGAATGGGACCCTATTCCCACCATCAGACAATGGTTAAGAGCACACTATCACACAGCCGATGATCCGAGAGTCAAGAGTAAGAGAAGTGCAAGTGAGGAAGTGGCAATGATAGAACGTTGTGGAAACATCGTAAAGTTAAAGACAAATAACACTTTTATGTAAGTACTTGTGTACCTCTTTTATTGTTTTGTGTACTTATTTTATTCTTATTTAAGTAGTAACTGCACAAAATAATAAACTTACTTTTTGTATATCTTAGCTTTGTAGGTCATACATTGGGGCAAAGAATTCAGTGATGTCGACTTGGCCACTCCCACCAAGTCACATGACCACCAAGCCACGCCCACCAAACAAGCCACACCCACAGAACCGGTAGTAAAAGAATTTGAAACCTACCACTGAACACAATTCATCAGCTGGAACACTTATTTTCAACCACAGACAACTCTTTATTTACTTCTAGATAACTAAAGAAATAGGACACTTTATACAGCAAGTATTGTATAGTTAAGGTAAATAAACCATTATTATAATAATCTGCATAGAAATGAATGTAAGGACTTTTTTTAATTTTAAAATCAGACAATATCAGTACTTCTAGAATGTCACTTACCCAGCTGTGTCTCTTGAATTGTCAGCTTACTCTCCAAAGGATACAAAAGCTTTGGTGGTTTTTCTGTAAGTGGGGCTAGAAAAAAACAGAGACATATTTATTCTTTTAGAACTTTCTTGAACAAGAATATTTCAGTTGGTAATGTTAAAGTATTTTCAATAAGTCACAATCAAATAATTATCCAAAGAGTTAAAAGTTGTAAGAGGCTTTATTGTAAAATAACCAGGGTAACAGACTTCTTCTACACCGCAGATTTAATAAGAAGAGATCAAGAAAATAAACAGTGATGTAAACAGTGTGGGAAAGGACATGAGAAAGAGAGAGAAAAAAATTCAAGCGGACAGAGATAGTGTTTGCAAAGCTATTCCAAACTGTTGAAACCTCTGTGGCAGCAGAAAGAGGATTTAAGCCAGCTAAGGAGACATAGATGTTTGCATAAATACAAAAGCACATCATCAGTGCATATAAGAATCAGCACCACCCTACATCACTGCTTAGTTGAATTACTGTGATGTGTTCTACATGGGGTTGCCCAATAAATGTCATGGGGCCAGGCTATGTACAGGATCACCTTTCTCTGAGGGTAAATTATGTTGGATGAGCTCCAGGTCCTTTTCCTTAAATATTGTCATTGAGCAGGGCCTAGAACTTTGTCTTTTCTATAGCAGTTCCCCACCATCCTTGCCTTTAAGAAGGTCTTGAATAGCTGACTCTTCTCACAAGCACTGAAATATAATAAGGCTGGATGGTGGGTAGATGCATGACAGAGTGCTGCCCTGGGGTTTTATAGGACTTTTTATTAAACTTAATTTTATGATTGGGAGTTTCTTTTGTTTTTGCTGTTTTGTGAATCAGCAAGTGTTGTTATAATGTGTGTATCTTTTACACATTTTTTGTTGTTAGTTGTGAAGTCATGTCTGACCCATCGTGACCCCACGGACAACGTTCCTCTAGGCCTTTCTGTCCTCTACCATCCTCTGGAGTCCATTTAAGATCCTACCTACTGCTTCAGTGACTCCATCCAGCCACCTCATTCTCTGTCGTCCCCTTCTTCTTTTGCCCTCAATCTTTCCCAGCATTAGGCTCTTCTCCAGTGAGTCCTTCCTTCTGATTAGGTGGCCAAAGTATTTGAGTTTCATCTTCAGGATCTGGCCTTCTAAGGAGCAGTCAGGGTTGATCTCCTCTAGCACTGACCGGTATGATCGCCTTGCAGTCCAAGGGACTCGCAGGAGTCTTCTCCAGCACCAGAGTTCAAAGGCCTCAATTCCTTGGCGCTCAGCCTTCCTTATGGTCCAACTTTCATCCATTGCAACTGGGAAAACCATAGCCTTGATTAAACGCACTTTTGTTGGCAGGGTGATGTCTCTGCTTTTTAGCATGCTGTCTAGATTTGCCATAGCTTTCCTCCCCAGGAGTAAGCGTCTTTTAATTTCTTGGCTGCCGTCCCCATCTGCGGTGATCTTGGAGCCCAGGAAAATAAAATTGGTCACTACCTCCATTTCTTCCCCCATCTATTTGCCAGGAATTGAGAGGGCCAGATGCCATGATCTTAGTTTTCTTAATGTTGAGTTTCAAGACAACTTTTGCACTCTCCTTCTTCACCCGCATTAAGAGGCTCTTTAGTTCCTCTTTGCTTTCTGCCATTAGAGTGGTATCATCTGCATATCTGAGGTTGTTGATATTTCTCCCAGCAATCTTAATTCCAACTTTTGATTCATCTAGCCCTGCCTTTCTCATGATGTGCTCTGCATATAAGTTAAATAGGCAGGGTTGCCTATTTACAGCCTTGCCGGACTCCTTTCCCAATTTTGAATCAATCAGTTGTTCCGTGTCCAGTTCTCACTGTTACTTCTTGACCCACATATAGGTTTCTCAAGAGACAAATATGATGGTCTGGTACACCCATTTCTTTAAGAACTTGCCACAATTTGTTGTGATCCACACAATCAAAGCCTTTAATTGTCAATGACGGCTTCATCGTCAATGAAGCAGAAGTAGATCTTTTTCTGGAACTCCCTAGCTTTTTCCATGATCCAGCGTATGTTGGCAATTTGATCTCTAGTTCCTGTGCCTCTTCGAAATCCTGCCTGTACTTCTGGTACTCCTCGATCCACATACTGCTGGAGCCTAGCTTGTATGGTTTTAAGCATAACCTTACTAGAATGTGAAATGAGTGCAATGGTGCGATAGTTTGAACATTCTTTGGCATTGCCTTTCTTTGGACTTGGAATGTAAACTGATCTTTTACAATCCTGTGGCCACTTTTGAGTTTTCCAAATTTGCTGGCAAATTGAGTGTACCAAAGATTTTGAATAGCTCAGCTGGAATACTCCTCCAATAGCTTTGTTGTTGTTCAGATTTCCTAAGGCCCATTTGACTTCACATTCCAGAATATATGGCTCAAGGTCAGTGATCACCCCATTGTGATCATTGTGGTTATTAGGGATGTTAAGCTCTTTCTTGTATAATTCTTCTGTGTAATTTTGCCACCTCTTCTTAATCTCTTCTGCCTCTGTTAGGTCCCTGCCATTTTGGTCCTTTATCATGCCCATCTTTGCATGAAATGGTCCCTTCATATCTCCAATTTTCTTGAAGAGATCTCTGCTCCTCTCTATTCTATTGTTTTCTTCTTTTTCTTTTCACTGTCCATTTAAGAAGGCACTCTTATCTCTTCTTACTATTCTCTGGAATTCTGCATTCAATTGGGTGTAGCTTTCTCTTTCTCCCTTGCCTTTTGCTTCCCTTCTTTCCTCAGCTATTTGCAAAGCTTCCTCAAACAGTCATTTTGCTTTCTTGCCTTTCTTTTTCTTTGGGTTTTAATTGCTACCTCTTAAACAATGTTGTGAAACTCCATCCATAATTTTTCAGGCACTCTGTCTATCAGATCTAATTCCTTAAATCTATTTGTATCTAGTTAAATCTACTGTATATTCATCAGGGATATGATCTAGTTCATACCTGAGTGGCCTAGTGCTTTTCCCTACTTTCTTCAATTTAAGTCTAAATTTTGCAATGAGAAGCTCATGATCTGAGCCACAGTCAACTCCTGGCCTTGTTTTTACTGACTATATAGAGCTTCTCCATCTTTGGCTGCAGAACACATAGTCAATCTGATTTCTGTGTTGACCATCTGGTGATGTCCATGTGTAAAGTCGTCTCTTGGATTGTTGGAAAAGAGTATTTGCTATGACCATCGTATTCTCTTGACAAAATTCTATTAACCTGTGCCCCACTTCATTTTGTACTCCAAGGCCAAACTTGCCTGTTATTCCAATTAACTTTTGGCTTCCTACTTTAGCATTCCAATCCCCCATGATGATAAGGACATCATTTTTTGGTGTTAATTCTATAAGGTGCTGTAGGGCTTCATAGAACTGGTCAATTTCATTCTCTTCAGCAACAGGGCATAGACTTGGATTACTGTGATATTGAATGGTTTGCCTTGGATTCAAACTGAGATCATTCTGTCATTTTGGGGATTGTATCCCAGTATTGCTTTTCCTACTCTTTTATTGATTATGAAGGCTACTCCATTTCTTCTGAGGGATTCTTGCCCGCAGTAGTATACCTGATGGTCATCTGAATTAAATTCACCCATTCCTGTCCATTTTAGTTCACTGATTCCTAAGATGTCACTGTTCAGTCTTGTCATCTCATTTGACCATGTCCAGCTTGCCCTGATTCATGGATCTTACATTCCAGGTTCTTATGGAGAAAAGATCTTTGCAGCATTGGACTTTCCTTTCACCACCAGATGCATCCATAGCTGAGCGTCCTTTCAGCTTTGGCCCAGTCACTTCACTCTTTCTGGCACTACTAGTACTATCCCTCTGCTCTTCCCCAGTAGCATATTGGACACCTTCCAACCTGAGGGGCTCATTTTCCGGTGTCATCCCTTTTTTTCTTTTGGTACTGTCCATGGGGTTTTCATGGCAAAGATACTGAAGTGGGCTGCCATTTCCTTCTCCAGTGGATCATGTTTTATCAGAGCTCTCTGCTATGACCTGTCCATCTTGGGTGACCCTGCATGGCATTGCTCATAGCTTCATTGAGCTATGCAAACCCCTTTGCCACAACAAGGCAATAATCCATGAAGGGGTTTTTACATATTCTAATGCACATACATCTGCATTAGAATATGAGTATATTAATGTAATCCTTGAGTTACAAGAACTTTATTAAATTTTTAAGGAAGATAAAAACTAACAGAAATGAATAATTGAAATAAGAAAAAGAGAAAAAATAAATCAAGTGTCAGGTCCCAGATATTTTTACAGGGACACTGGAATTTTGGTGGGAGGAAGGGGGGGATGAATAGAGTGGTCTGTAAATGAAGTTTCTGTTTTTGTTTCCTGTTTCTGTTTCCTGCATTACTGTGTTAATTTCTATATGAAGTCTCTGTTTCTGTTTCCCTGCAATGATGTAGTGTGGGAGGGGTTTGCTTAGCATTGCTTTAAATAGCTGGTTTTAAATGAGAAGCTTCAGTTCTTGCCTAGATCTCTTGTTATCACAAACCTTCCAATAAAAACTCCTTTTGGAACCATTGCAGTTTCAAGAGTCCTACTTTCTTGAGAAGATTGGAGAGGCAAGACTTTACATCAAGAAACAGAGAACAAAGCCAAAAGTGCAGAAAAGAAATAAATAAAACAAATATAAATAAAATTTTCTTTCAGAGCAGATATAAGTATATATTTACATTAAATTCTTACAGTAAGTTTACAATATATTTTTATTTTTATTATCTATCACTTCTTCTAATCATCAAATCCATATTTCATTTTTTCTGTTTCATGGATAAAGTTCAAAAGGAATTTCCAATCATCATTAAAATAAAACAATGTCTTTTCACTAATCAAAGCTATCAATTTTGTCATTTCAGTCAGCTCCATCAACTTCACTACCATTCTTCCATTCTAGGTAATGTCAAATTCTTCAATGTAAAAGATAGTCCTTGACTTCAATGGCAATTGGGACTGAAATTTCAATTACTAAATGATGATGCCATAAAGCTCACATGATTGCAACATTTCAGGACAGCAATCCCAGCACTCCATATTGTTATTGTTAACTGAATT